TAACATTTTAACTATAATATTATAAAAAAAAATTTTAAAACAATATTTTTAATATCACTTTTTAATAAAATTTTATGTATTATTTAAATAATTAATTTTTTTAAATTAAAATATGTGATATTAAATAAATTCACTTCTTTAATAACATGCAAAACTTATATAAAAAGTCATAAAAAAAATTTGTCTCTTCGCTGCACTTGCTGAAAAAATAATATAAATGAAGTGGTCTCTAAAATTTGATAAGCTGGTCAAATTAATTAGCAAATGCAAAACAGAGCTGTTAAGCGTTGATCTCATGCGCTCAGAGAGAGAGAGAGAGAGAGAGAGAGAGAGAGAAGCGGTTTTAATTTAGCCAATTGTACATTAATTATGTATTTTTTACCGGCTAGAAATAATTAAATATTAAAATTATCTCAAAATAGATTGGCAAAAATATGACATAAGGACCCGAACTTACACCAAATTCGCAATTTCGGATCCAAACTTTGATTGCACTCAATGAAGGTCCCGAACTCCACCAAATTCTCAAATAAGGACCCAATTGGACGGAAAATTAACTTCCGTTAAATCTCCTATTATTCCGTTAATGTTCCGTTACACTTCACACCCGCCACTTGAAAAAAATTGATTAAATTCTAATTTTGGTCCCTCAACTTCATTAAATTGCACTTTTTTGTCCCTCAACGTCATTTAAATTTCACTTTTTGTCCCTTAACTTGATTAAATTGCACTTTCTTATCCTTCAACTTTATTAAGTTATACTTTTTTGGTCTTTAAACTATTTTTTGCACTTTTTTGATCCTTAAACTATTTTTTGCACTTTTTTTATCTTTTAACTTTAATAACTGCACAATTTTGATACTTTCGTCAATTTAAACCGTTAACTTCATTCATGTGGTATTTTTTATATTTTTTTGATGACATGTATAATCTAATTGGAAAAAACTAATAACATAAATCATCTAACTAGAAATAATGATGACATGAATAAATAAAATAATATGTAGATAAATTTTTATATTTTTAATAAAAATAAAAAAAAACCTCTCCACCTATTTTCTTCCCCTGCTAGAAGAAAGAGAAAGAAAGAGGGGGAAGAAAATAGGTAGAGAGGTTTTTATATTTTTTTATAAAAAATATAAATATTTATTTACATGTTATTTTATTTATTCAT